TCCAGCTTCATTTCTGTCACCAAGTCCATGTTTTCCAACTACTGATCTTTCTTCTCTGTTCGCAACTTTTGCATTCGAGTCATCCATTAATATTAGTGCATCTTGATTGCATGTTCGATTGATTTCTGACTACAAAAGTTGGTAGACATATTCTAGTTCCTCCTTATTGACTCTGGTTAACTCTAAGAAGAATGGGAACTCCAGAACACTTGATCTTTTGCAAAACCTATACTTGGACCAGGAGGCAGTCATCAGAGCAAGGAAACACTGCATGGTTCAAAATCAGGAAGGATGTGCACCTGGGATGTGTCCTATCTCCTTATCTTTTTCAATCTATATGCAGTTAGAGCCATCAGGGAGGCTCGGCTCTATGAGGAAGAACGTGACATCAGAATTTAAAGATGATGCATCAACAACCTCCTTGCTGAAACAGAGGAGGGCCTGAAGTGCTTGCTGCAGAAGGTCAAAGACCAGACTGAAGCTCAACATCAAAAAAGCAAAGATTCTTACCACTAGGCCACCTGGTACCATCATGATAGACGGTGAAGGGATTGAGATTGTTAACAGCTCTAGTTTGTTTGGCTCTACAATCAACACTCTTGGTACCAGCAGCCAGGAATTAAAAAGATGAACTGCATTAGAAAGTCTGTTGTCAAGGAGCTCTCTAGAGTACTGAAGAGCAACTATGTCAGTTCTGGAGACTAAGATGCTCTTGATCCAGACCAGGGTCTTTGCAATTACTTGCTACACACCAGAAAGCGGGACAATGACTAGGGATGATAGAAGGAGAATTGATGCCTTTGAGCTGTAGTGCTAGAGAAGAGTATTGAATATACAAAGGACTGCTAGGAGAACAAATAGATTCATCCTAGAGAGGATGCTGCTCCTTGGAGTCAAGGATTCTTAAGCTTCGTCTGACATACCTTAGGCATGTTGCAAGGAGGGATCAGTCCTTGGAGAGGGGCATCATGCTTGGGAGAGTAGAGGGACAGTACAAGAGAGGAAGACCCAGATGAGAAGGACTGATTCAGTGACTGGGGTAATGGGGGGTAGGTGTGTCAGAGACGATAAGGTTGGATCAGGATAGGGAAGGATTCAGAGTTGTTGTACATAGGGTCGCTATGAGTCCCAGGCAACTAAATGGCACATAACAACAACATGTGATTAAGTAATGGAAAATAGAATTCATTTAATAAACTAATGTCTTTTGTTCCTAGTCCCTCTGTTCTGGGTTTTTGTATTGTTTTTTAATTCCCCCACCCCCCCCATCCCTGTTCTGTTTTACATGAAAAAAACTTTTGGCTAAAAGAAAACAAGAAAGTATCTAATTCATGTGCAACTTGCTGGTAGTTACATTGACCCTCAGTTCTGTTTTTCATCAGATGGTAAAAATCTTTTGGGTTCTTTTAATCTGCCCCACAGTATTCCCAGCTCAAAACAGCCTTACTTCAGCAATGGAAAGGACATATGTTTTGAAATCATATCTGTTGAAGTATGTCATGACATATTTGTTGTTGGTTTTAGGTGTTGTAAGGTCAAACACAACTCATAGCGACCCAAAAGCAATCCGTATCATCTCTGATACACTTGAGTTCAAGGCTGCAGTCACTGTGTCAATCTATCTCATTTAGGGTTTCTTCTCTTTTGTTGACCCTTTATCTTTCCACTTCATAACTAGTTTCTCAGTATCAGTTTCTTCACCTACTAGAAATAGTTACAATTCTCATAGTTGGACCAACAGACACATCATGATAAATGGAGAAAGGGTTGATATTAAGGATTTCATTTTACTTGGATCTATAATCCACACCCCTGAAAGCAGTAGTCAAGAACAAAAGACTTCTTAAAAGTGCTTAAAAGCAAAAATGTTACCATGAGAAGTAGGGTAAAGCTGACCCAAACCATGATATTGAAGCGTACTTCCTATTCTATTGACCGCCAGAAGAATGAACCTGTTTTGGAAAAATTTCAATCAGAACACTTCTTAGAGATAAGGGTGGTGAACCTATTTTTCATGCCATGAAACTCAAACTTAGGTCTACTTTAAAATCTCTGCTCCCAGTATCTGAGGAAATGTTATCCATTGGTTGATGACAGACACAAAACTAGTTTTACCCAAATCTTTAAAGAAGTATCTAATAAAAATAGATGTTATAAATGATGGATCAGTCCCAGGGCACTACTAGAATAACCACATAAGAGGTTATTAAATAGGCTCCTGCAGACTAACAAAATCATTTCTAGAAAAGTACATTCCAAGTTCCATACAGCCTTCACATTGATTTTTTTTTTCTTCCAACATTTACACAATACCTTTTGTTGCACTTGTGTATTCATATTGTCCTTGAAAGTACCTACTCTTCCTTCCCTAATCATCTGTAAGGTTTACAATGAATCCTTTTTATTTTCAATTATGAAAAATTTCATGCATTCAGAGAAATTGAAAGAATAATTCACTATACATCCACTTATTCCCATGACCTGATGGCATCTAATAACATGAAATCCAACAACTGCCAACATCCTGTTTTCTTCTGTGTGATTTAGAGTCACTGAAAACCCTGTAGAAGTGTCAGGCATCAGTTCTGACCTGATGGCAATGAATGGATATACCATCTGAAATTAAGTTTTAGACCTCAGCATTTTTCATCTCTAAATAAATAGTTCTGGTGGCCTAGTGGCAAGAAGCTGCACTGCAATCCCAAAAGAACTTGGTTCAAGGCCACCAGTTGCTCTGCATGAGAAGGACCAGCAATCTCCTTCCTCCATTCTGATGAACTGCTTCTGAACACCTGCCAGAGGATCAAGTTTGGGTCAATTCCGACTCTACATTATAAAACAACAACCTCCTAAAATTAAAACACTCATAATATTATTTATTCCATTTGGAAAGCAAAGACATCGTCTATATATTCCTAGTATTTTACTTAGTGAATGTTATTTATTTCTGCAGTCAGCAACTACTGGACAAATCACTCAGCTTAACGCCCCAGCAACAACCATCCTGAAAACTGTGAATTTAAAACCTTAAACTGTACAATTCTGGCCTTCAAGAAGAATGATGCCTTTGAGTTGTGGTGTTGGAGAAGAGTATTGAACATACCATGGACTACCAAAAGAACAAACATATCTGAGCTGGAGAGGGTGAAACCAAGTTGTTCCTTTTAAGGCAAGGATTTTGAAGCTCCATCTCACATACTTTGGACACGCTGCCAGAAAGGCTCCGTCCTTGGAGAAGGACATCATGCTTGGAAGAGTAGAGGGACAATGTAAGAGAGGAAGGCCGAGATGAGATGGATGGACAAAGTAACTGAGATAATAGCAGTAAGTGTATCAAACTGTGAGACTGGCTCAAGATAAGGCAGGGTCTAGTAAGGTCACTGCCAGTCACAGGCGACTTGATGATGCATAACAACACATTATTAGTTTAATTAATTGTTTTAAACTAACCTAGTGCTGCAGTTAGCATTGTGAATTCTGAACTACTTAATTCTGTATCACTTTGTTGATGCTGGGAAAACAAGGATCATGTCTGTTAGTATTGTGAATTCTGAAATAATTCTGTATCACTTTGCTGATGCTCTGGGAAAACAAGGATCATGTCTACGTCTTTTGCTCAATATATAAACTGGCACATAAACTTTTTAATAACTAAGTAGTTTCAACTGCTAAAAACATTAGCGAGATAATAGAGAACTATGGTAATAACAGTTAAGATGCTAGCTTTGGAACCAAGATGGACGGATTTGGTTTCTAATAGTTTCAAAGGTTTTCTAGTAACATAACTTGAGTAAGTTAACCTAAGCCTGTTTCTGATCCAGTAAAATTGTGATAATGATTTAATTTCCCTCATGGACGTGCAAGGAGAAAATAAGGACTCAGTTCGCAGCAGATATCATTATTTTATCGGGCAGAAACAAAAGATCCCTGGGTATTTCATAAAAAAAAAAAAAAAAAATTCCAGGAGAAAAAATAAGACGCTGTCCTGATGCAAAGCAAAGATACTCTAATCAACCATGCTTCCTGCTTCCTACTTCCACCAGCTAAGCTTCCAGAATGCTAAAACAACACAACTATTAACCACAAATTCCCTGTAAGTTATAGAAAACCTAGTGGAAAAGATGCAATAATCACTATTCTTGGAGCTTTTCCCTCAAAGCAGATGCAAATACAATATCCTCCAACTGGCAGGTGCTATACGGGCCAGGAGCCTCCATCTGTAAGGGTAATTGCAGCGTATCAAGCCTTTTGTTCTTTTAAATGACAATGGAGGCAGCGACTAGAGGAAAAATACTAAAAGAAGTCTTCCCGATCCACAGAAATCTCCAAATTCAGCTGCCCACTTTGGTGGAGCAAGACAGTAGCCTAATGAACTCGGTTGTTCCCTTCTGGTAGAACTGAAAGCTCTGCAGTCACTAACTAAAAAGCCTAAAAAAGGTAAAAGAATGAGGGAGAAAGAGAATGGAAATCAAGACGCTAAACCGACGCTCACAGATAAACTGTGCCACTCCTCCCAGACCACGCTGTCATTGACTTCCGCACATGTCCCTCCGGAGCGCGCATCTAGGCAGAGGGAGAACTGTTCAGCAGCAGCCACAAACCACCCTGGAGCGCACAAGGTTCTGCATCTCAGCTTCTCCTCCGGTCGCAGATCTCACCTGCCACGACTGCGGTCATCACGCCAGCTGGTTGTGCCCATTCAGGTCTTGGTTTTCCCTTTCAACTCGTGGGCTGACGGGAGGCAAAAGGTGCTTATCAAGAACACTGTGCAGACATGGGTCTTCTTTCAGTAACAGTTGAATAATCAGAAGTATCTCAAAGAACTACTTCAGCCCGCGAATCTTGGCCACGCCTCTTCGCCGCCACCCTCAGGTATCACTCAAATACCCCACCGGGCAGACCGGTTTCCGGCAAGAGCCAAACGCTCCGCCCTTTCCTGACCAGCTCTCTACTGTCCTCGGAGGCACGTTCCCTTTAACAATCCGGGTAATTCGGCTTCCGGTAGCACCAGATAAGTCGCGAGAGGAAGCATAAATCCTGTCGTTTGCCTTAAGGACCACCTTGGTGAGTGGTCGCTGTCATGTGCGGTGTCGTAACTTCTGAATTTTAACGTAAAGAGTGATTTGACAATAATTTCAAAACCTTTCACTTCGACAGCCTTAGGAAGGATTTGACTGTCCTGGAGTCAATTGCGCAGGCGCCCTTGAAGCTTGAGGGCCTTGGGCGTTGCTGCATTCCTTGGGAGCTAACCCTAAGGGGCGAGTGCTCTTGCGAAGCATAGATGTTACTTTGTGTAACTACTGACTTTGACCTAATCTTTTTCGTGCTTATGTTGAGTTTAACAAGATCGTGTCCTTAAGAGCCATTAAACCAGGTGTAGAAATGCTTCCTTCACATCTAAAGTGGCTTCTGGGATTCCCATCCATGGAGCAATTAAAATACTGACTATGTCATTTGGCCAACCCTAAAACATTTGCCTCTTTGTTTTCTCATATCGTTAGCTGTCCTATCTTATTGTTGTTATTTAATTTGGAATGTTGCTCTTTGACCCCGTGCAGACTCAAAGCCAGTCTTGTAACACATTTTCAAGTTTTTAAAGGAAAAGTAAACACTTTTATCAGCAGAGTGATTTTCCTTTAAATGATCATTTTTGAGCCAAAGTAGAAAAATAATTTGCAAAATGGAATATTTCTCTCATGTTTCTTTCCCTGTATGTTTAATGATTATACCATCGAGTCAGAATCAATTTACAGCAAACCGTCTGGCAGGTTTTCCTAAGTTATTTTAATCTCTTTGGAGGAAATTGTTCATTTTCTCTCATTGACCCTTTGGGTTGGCATTATAGCTCCTTACCACTAGGCCACAAGAGCTTAGTAATATACAAGGCATTTTTATTTCAGTCATACACTGAAATGACACATTTTTGGAGTATCTGTAGTAGATTTCCTAGCCTTTGACAACATCGCCTAAAATTGTACACATGTATTTTTGGAAATTAGGGGAAAAAAACGGTCGGAGTCAAAATTTGATGCCAAGACAAAAAAAAAAAAAAATTAATGTGTGTGTTAAAAGATTACATATGTAAAGTATTACATGGAAACATGTACTACTATTTTGAGCCTAAGTTTGGTAACCTTGTCTGGTTTTGCTTTTGGTAGAACAGAATTTACTTTTACTTAAAATTCTACTAAACTGCTTAATTTTAGTACACATACGAATTACCAGAGGAATTAAGCAAATAAATATTTATGCAAATATCTGATGATTTTACTTAATATTGTGTAAGGAATTTAGATTGAAGCTCAACATCAAGAAAACAAAGATTCTCACCACTAGGCAGCATCATGATAGGTAGTGAAGAGATTGAGATTGCTGACAGCTTCAGTTTGCTTGGCCCTACAATCAGCACTCTTGGTACCAGCAACCGGGAAATTAAAAGATGAACTGCACTGGGAAAGTCAACTGTCTGAGACTTCTTCAAAGTACTGAAGAGCAACGATGTCAGTCTGGAGACTAAGGTGTGCCTGATACAGGTCATGGTCTTTGCAATTACTTGCTGTGCATCAGAGAGCTGGACAGTGACTAGGTATGATAGGAGAGTAGATGCCTTTGAGCTGTGGTGCTGGAGAAGAGTATTAAATATACCATGGACTGCTAAGAGAAAAACAAGTTCATCCTGGAGAGGGTGAAGACAGGCTGCTCCTTGGAGGCAAAAATTCTGAAGTTTCATCTGACACACTTTGTACATGTTGCAAGGCGGGATCAGTCTTTGTAGAGGGATGTCATGCTTGCGAGGGTAGAGAGACAGGAGAGGAAGACAGTGGATGAGGTGGATTGATTCAATCACTGGGATAATGGAGATAGGTGTGTCAGAGACAGTAAAATTGGCAAGGAATAGAGCAGGTTTTAGGGTTGTTTTACAAAGGGTCACTCTGAGTCACAGACAACTCAACGGCACATAACAAAACAACAACAAGGAAAATAGAATAAGAAACTCAACCAAATATGACCCTGACATTCATCTTAGAAAGCTACAAGGTATAATCAGCTACCTCCAGTACTTTTTCTTGCTGTTACTTATTTTAGTACACAGATAATTAAGAAAAATTTGTGAAAAGTCTTCTATATGGATTGAAGCTCAACATTAAGAAAACAAAGATTCTTACCACTGAACCAATTGGCAGCTCTATGATAGATGGAGAAGAGATTGAAGTTCTTAACAATTTCTGTGAAAGCAAGGAGCTACAGGACAGTTGCTTTATGAAATAATACTTCTCAAATTCTTTATGAAGAAAAAGATTTCTCTTACAGATGAACATTTTAGAACCTCTTTTCATTAAGGAGTTCTGGTGGTATAGTTGTTTTAAAGAATTTGTTAACTTGCTCAGGTCCCCAGTCAACACAACCAAGCAGCCAGGAAATCAAAAGACAAATTGGTTTAGGAAAGTCGGCTGTCAGCCACCCATCCAGAGTGCTGAAGTGCAAAGATGTCAGTTTAGGGGCTAAGGTACACCTGATCCAGGCCATTGTGCTTGCAGTTACTTCCTATGCATCAGAGAACTGGATAATGAAAAAGAATAACAGAAGAAGAATTGATGCCTTTGAGTTGTTGTCCTGGAGAAGAGTATTAAACATACTGTGGACTCCCAAGAGAAAAAGTCTGTCTTGGAGATGGTGAAACCACGTTTCTCCTTTTAGGCAAGGATTTTGAAGCTCCCTCTCACATACTTGGGCATGTTGCAAGGAGGGATCACTCCCTGGAAAAGGACATCATATTTGGAAGAGTGGAGGGACAGCACAGGAGAGGATGACCCTGGATGAGATGAATTGGCACAGATACTGGGATAATAGAGACAGGTGTGTCAAAGACAGATTGGCCCAGGATAGGACAGGGGTCAGAGCTGTTGTTCATAGTTTTGCTATGAGTTACAGGCAACTCAACAGTACATAACAACACAACAACAGTCTTTGAATATAAGAAGCTTTTTTCAAATTTACCTTCTTTTCTGACCATTAGAATTTTCTCAACAGCTGTTTTCACATTTTAACTACTTCTAGAGACCAACCTGTAAAAATACTTTGAAAAGAAAATAACTTCTCCTTCTTTAAGTGCTTCCAGAATAAAAATAGCAAATATGAGTAAACTCTTAACTTCTTTCTTAAAAAACTATACATTTTTTTTCCAACTAATTTTTCATTTTTGTGTGCTTCATTTCTCTGTTATAAACGTTCTCTATACTGACAGGGTCAGCAGTTCAGAATTTCACAAGATTATAAACTCATTATAAATTGTACAACTTGAGTCATCTGGACTTTGGTGTTAGCAGTAAAACATCATAAATAAGCATGATTATTATTAAACATTAACCACATTTAAACAAAAAAGAGGAAAAAACCAAACCACTGCCCTTGAGTCAATTCCAACTAGCAACCCTTTGGGGCAGATTAGAGTTGTTAGCCTTAGGCTTTCTAAGACCATACATCTGTACAGAAGCTGATTGCTTCATTTTCCTCCTGCAAAGGTGCTGTTGGATTTGAACTGCCAACCTCTTAAGTTAGCAAATTCTTTTAACAACTATACCACCAGAACTCCTTAATGAAAGAGGTTCTAAAATGTTCATCTGCAAGAGAAATCTTTCTCTTCATAAAGAATGAGAAGTATTATTAAATAAAGCAACTGTCCTGTAGCTCCTTGCTTTCACAGTTCACATTTGCTAAATTTCTCAATGACTATGCCAGGTCCTGTTGCTGTCTGATTTCCACATTTCTTGCTCTACTGCTATTGAAACCATCACTTGAGATACTGTATTTCTTGTATAAATCAACCTTTTCTAAGAACTCTGTATTACTTAAGTTGCTGTGGCCGGTATCCAAATTGGTATTGAGATGAGTAGAAAAAGGTGTGGGAGTGTGAAGGACATGTCTAACTTTATAGGAATTGGTTTTGCAGTGGTGGTGTTGATAGGGACAGTCCTCTTTGTGAATTTGTAAAAGTCAGATATGGCTATGCCCACATGGCCCTTGTTCTTTTTTATACAAAACCTTGAAGAATTTGTAGTATATTTGGAAAAGAGATAAAGAGGTACAATATACTTCCAGAGATTTTATGCTAAGCCAGTATATATTACTCTGGGTACAACATGAAAGGGGTGCACAGATGACTCAAGGAGGAAAGATTTGGTTAGAAAAAAAATTAAGAAATAAGTGAATTCATGAATATGTGTTTTGATGACCAGTTCTCTTAAGGTTTTCATTTGATCCGTCTTCCACTGCCCTAATATATAATGGGTACATCCATGAACTAAATGCAATGTAGTCAATACTAGTATCTTTCTCCCTAGAGTAGGATTTCAGAAGTAATATCAGTGTATTCACTCTCCACATTCTGTCAACTAGGTATAATTCTTAGAACATTTATCCATTTCCACTGATACTTCCTTGATATAGTATCATATGTTGCTCTAAATTATACAGTCATATTATAGGTTATCTGTACTGACCCTCCCACCTTTTAACCCCCATCTGTATACCACACTCTTGCAGGACATACTTTGTAGAGTGAAAAATCTATAGTCGGATTATGCTTCATAACAGAGAAAGTATATGCATGATTAAAAACACTCCTGTTCAAGAAAAGATGGGTATATGAAGTTTGTCAGAGTAAAAGAATCTCTCTATATTGATTGCTTTTTTAGCATTTACATAGTATAAGTTTCCATGTGAATAACTACTGGTCTTTGTTTTTAAATTTGCAATTTACCATGTATACATTTTGTAGCAATATAAAATTATCTTTTCTCCTACTCTTTGTTGTTGGTTTTTTGGTTTTGTTTTTTTCTAATTGCATCACTTTATTTCACTGACCTCCACTTGGTCTAGCCTTCAAGCCTCAGAGCAGGAAATAAGCCTGGCTGCAAAACCAGGGAAAGGGAGAAGCACTCAGATGGAAAGGGGAAAGCAGAAAGATCTAGGGGGGAAGCCTTGTCCTTTTGGGGAGCTATTTTGGGCTTAGATTAATGCAGTCATAAGGTGAGGGAAGCCAAGGGCTGAGCACACCATACACTGGTAGAGGGTCTCCTCCTAGAGCTGGCCTGGGCTCCCTGCCCTTCCAGACAGTGGAGAGGGGCACAGAATTACATCAGTTAAGTGCCTGTCCTAGTACTTGTGTGGAGACCCAGAGAGTAGGTGTGTGCACGCATGCGTGGCTGCACATGTGTGTCCAGCTCTGGCTACTCCCAAGGGAATGGTCATATTTGTGAATGTGGGTGGCTCTAAATGTCAGAGCATAATTGTGGGCATGTATGTATGTGCAGTCTGGGCTCTGTGCGGGTGACTGGCCCATCAAGCAGCAGAAAAGACTGTTGGGAGAGGGAGACTGGTCCTAATAGGGGAAGGAGGAGAAACTTGTCTCATGGATTATCCAACACCAGATTATGTTCCTTGATCCCTAAACTTTTCCCTGGGCTTCACCCCCTCAGCTTCTCACTGCAAGAGAAAGAGAGAGAGAGAAACAGACAGACCCCAACAGGTAAGAACCCAGATGGGCAGAGAGGCAAGAAGACAGATCTCACATACCTGTTGCATAGGCCTGAGCTAGAGCCCATGAAAGGGGAGAGAGAGAAAGCCCAAGGCAGACAGGTGGCCCACTCCCATCAGCAGGTTGGGCTTCATTCCAGGCCCTCCAGGAAGCCTAGCAGCCCCGAGTGCCACTCTTCAGACTTGTCCAGGTAACAGGGGTGCCTGGCCCCCTCCATGACCCAGTGTGGTTGGGAATCTGCTTCAAGTTCTCAAAGCTGGTCTGGCCCATGGAGTCCTGGTCTCCATATACAATCAGAGCTGAGGTCTTCACACTGGCATAGTCTGCATCTTTGATTTTGGGGCCCTGGGCACATAGCCCCGGAGCTGGGAGCCAGAGGCTATGACAAAGGATAGGGAGTACATATGCCACTCAGTGATGGGCTGACCACAACCAGGAGCCCAAAGCCAAGGCATTCACCACTGCCAACAGGAAGCTGCTTGGGGCGAGTGACTCATAGCAACTCTGTGTACGATAGTTCTGAACTCTGCCCTATCCTGAGCCAGTCTCACTGACTCCAACATGCGTAATCCCATTGTCCCAGTTACTCTGTCAGTCCATCTCATCTGAGATCTTTCTCTCCTTCGCTGTCCCTCCACCCTTCCAAGCATGCTGTTCTCCAAGGACTAGTTCCCTATGGCCATATGCCCAGAGTGTACCTCCAAGGAGAAACTTGGTTTCACCCTCTCCAGGACAGAGCTATTTGTTTTCTTGGCAATCCAGAATATGTTCTTCTCCAGCATCACAACTCAAAGGCATCAATTCTTCTGTCATCCTTAGTCATTGTCTGGCTGTCTGATGCATAGCATGTAATTTGCAAAGACTGTGGCCTATAAATCAAACACACCTTAGTCTCTAGACTGACATCATTTGCTCCCCAGCCCTTTAGAGTGGTCCCTGATGACCAACTTTACCAATGCAGTTCATCTTTTGTTTTCCTGACTGCTGGTGTGAAGAGTGTTGATTGTGGAGCCTAGCAAGCAGAAATTGTTAACAGCATCAGTCTCTTCTTCATCCATCATGAAGTTGCCAATTGGGCCAGTGGTGAGAATCTTTGTCTTTTTGATGTTTAGCTTCAATCTATATTGAAGACTACCTTTTTTAACCTATTAAAATGTTTTTGTCACATAACAAAACCATCTTATATAAATAACATTTCAAGTGATGGCAGTGGAAGAGACTTGAAGCAAGATTTTTCGAAGTATTCTTGTTCATTTCCTTTTCTTTATTAAGTATGTGGAAAATTTCAGCATTTCTTTTCATATGGAAAGAGACAAGATAATTAGTCCTGATGTATCTCAAAAATAGCATTTGAATATTTTCCTTTTTATACATCATTCTATTCCTTTTCTGAACTACAATTATCCTCCTCAGATAATATTCTAGGAAGGCTAATGTTCTATGTAAGCAGAAGCTTGAAATGAAATAGAAACTGAATGAGCTAATTCAAATTCTATTTTTAAATACTTTTTTCCCTAGGTTAAAGATGGTCCGGAGTGGGAAAAATGGTGAACTTCATCTTAAGCAGATTTCATATTATAAACAAACTGGTGAATATCATCCAACTACACTGCCAAGTGAGAGAAGTGGTATAAGAAGAGCAGCAAAAAAATTTGTATTCAAAGGTAAAATTAGCATATAAAACCTTGACTGTGCAGTTAATATACATGGTTTTTCACATATATTTGTGGAATCCTGAAAACTTGAATTGTTGGATTGGTTGCTGCTTAACAGTTAATGGTTAAATTGATGATGCCTCTTAGTCACAAGCAAAATAAAAATGACACTGACGCTAACTGAAGGCCAGTAAGTATGGTGGTATAAATCATAAATGGAAAATAATACCATGAAAGAAAACAAAATACTTAATGAACTTCAAAATTTACCAAGTAAGGTGAATCCTACTCTAATGGTGTACTCTCAAGCACTAAGGCCACCATTAATGAGAAACTGATTTGATGCTTAATATGAAAATATTGACAGCACTATTACTAAAGGAAAACAAATAAGAGAAATTTATATCTATTTCTATTATTTATCCACTCTTTGTCATTAAATATTCTTTCTTCCCCACGCACCCCCCCCCCAACTTCCCCCTGAATGGGATATTTCAAAACTGGTAGAACACATATCCTGAAAATTCATGATAACATTTTAGCCATTTATTCACCCTTCAAAGAAGAAAAGTTTATGGTGTGGTAAGGAGCAAGTATAATCATAGATAACTGAATGAGTGTTAGTGCAGTTTTGCCTATTAGGTTGGGCATTGAGACTCAGCAGGTCAAGAATATTTTAAGATGATAAATGACTGCTCTTTTCTACCTGTGTACATTTACCTCTGTATCTTCTTTTGCCAAAAAATAAGCAGACTTGTTATCTCTTAGAATAACATTAAGAGTCATTCACTCGTTTATTCATTTATGCAACAAATATTAGCCACTCTTGTTTGCCGTTGAGTGAAATAAATCCGTAGCTGACCCTCCAGCGGGTTTTCAGTGGCAATTAATCCCATTTAGTAACTGGTAAATTTGAACATTATCCTTTTGAGATTGGAATGCAGCCCAGTTTTTTATCACTAGACCACCAGAGACCCTTATAGTTGTTCTTGTTAGGTGACATCGAATTGCCTGTGACTCATAGTGACCCTATGTATAACAGCTCTGAAGCCTTCCCTGTCTTGACCCAGTCTCTCTGACTCCAACACACCTACCCCCATTGCCCTAGTTACTATATCAGTCCATCTCATGTGGGGTCTTCCTCTCCTGCACTGGCCCTCCACCCTTCTGAGCATGATAATGGTCTCCAAGAATAGGTCCCTCCTGGCCATATTAGTCACTATGATAATAATATTCAGTGTCAGCCAGTTCTTTCTGGTATTCCCTCCTTCTTATTTTAATGATTCCTGAATTATTCAGTATTTTGTAACTCGAGACTAGAATTTGTTTTTTAGTTCTTTCAGCTTGAGAAATGCCAAAATGAGATCTTCCCTTTTTATTCTTCAATTCTAGCTCTGTGCACATTCCATACTTTGTTTTGTCTTTTCAAATTCTCCTTTGCAAGCTTCTGTTCAACTGTTTTGCTTCATCATCTCTTCCTTTTGTTTTGGCTTCTCGATATTCTAGCATAATTTTCATAGTCTCTCCTGACATCCATTTTTGGTTTTCTTACTCCTCTGCCTTTGTAATGACCTTTTGCACTCTTAATGAATGTCATCCTACAACTCATCTGATTCTTTGATAATTGATGTTCAATGCCTCAAACCTATTCTTTTGTTTACAAGCATTAATTCATTTACATTATGCTTTATACAATCTCATTTACATTGTTTCACGTAATCATTCATATACACTGTATTTTATATAATGAATTACTATTGATCTACCTTTCATATTTCTTTACCTTCCCATTTGACAGACCCTCAGGCCTGGTTCAAATTGTTTCTCTGTCCAACATTCTTCTAGGTGGTATACTGTGCATTGCTGTACAGAGGAACTCGTGGTTGCTGTGATGCTGAACACTGTGACACTGATGTGCCAAATGTGATAATAGTTACCCATTGGGGACAATGTTTGCTGGAGCTTTTCGATTAAAACAAGCCTGGAAGCAGGAGTGGCATCCACTTCTGAAATGGCTTGCCTCTGGAAACTCTATGAACAATGCTCAGGCCTTTCGTTCATAGGGTTTCCGTGAGTTGTCTATGACTCGATGGCACCTAACAACAACAACACAACAACTTTCCCACTCTACCTTTGCCACCAGCTCAGAACCAGGAAACTCAAGAGAGGTGATTTCTTCCACTTTACTGCATATGTCAGTCTTTTGTAATATGGTAGCTGTGTATTGTTCTAATGCTGGAAGCTATACCACTGGTATGCCAAATACTAGAAGGGTTTCCTCTGATGAAAAGGTTTCAGCAGAGCTTCCAGACTAAGATAGATAAGGAAACAGAATTAGTCAGCACTTTTGGTCCCAAGGGAGATAACACTACTAATTCAAAAACCATGTCTCTTTGGTGATTCAAATCCACCACACTCTGAGATAGAAAGATTAGTAATCTCTACCCATGCCATTTACAAACTCAGAAACCCAGTGGAGGGTCAGCTGGTTGCCACTTCATGACAGTGAGTTTTAGTTTTAGGTCTGAAATAATTGACCAGTGAAAAATTTATGAAGTGAGCATGGTGAAGCTTTATCTCATATTCTTTGGGCATGTTATCAAGAGAGTCTAACAGAAAAGGTCAGTTAGAAAGGAAGGCTCTTAATGAGATGTGTTGCCAAAGGAACTACAACATAGTTAGTGTTCAAGTACAGCAATAATTATAAAGATGCACAGGACCAATCTTTGTTTCATTCTCTTGTATATAAGACCACTGTTTTGTTGTTATGTGCTGTCAAGTTGTCTGTAACTCATGGTGCCCCTATGTGCAGCAGCTGTGAACCCTGCCCTGTTCTGAGCCAGTCTCGGTAATTCTGACACACCAGCCACCATTGACCCAGTCACTGTATAAATCCATCTCATTCCAGGGCCGTCCTTTCCTGCTCTGTCCCTCCACCTTTCCAAACATGACGTCCCTCTCCGTAGACCAGTCTCTCCTGGCCATGTGCCTAGGTATACGAGACAGAGCTTCAAAATCCTAATTTCTAAGGAGAGACTTGTTTTCCCCCTCTCCAAGACAGACCTATTTTTTTTTTCTTTTTTCTTTTGGCAGTCCATAGTTTGTATAAGACTCTACTCCAGCATCATAATCTGAAGGCATCAATTCTTTTCTGTCATCCTTAGTCATTGTCCACCTCTCTGATGCATAGCAAGTAATAGCGAAGACAATGGCCTGAATTAGGTGCAACTTAATCTCTAGACTGACATTACTTCTTTTTAGCACTTTGGAGAGGTCCCGGACGGCAATTTTCCCAATGTAACTAGTCCTTTGATTTCCTTACTGCTGGTATTAAAAGTGTTGATTGTGGAGCCACACAAGCCGTAATTGTTTCTGACCTCAGTCTTTTCTCCATCTCTCATGATGCTGCCAATAGGCCTAGTGGTAAGAATTTCTGTCTTCTGGATGTTAAGCTTCAGTCTATACTGAAGATTACAGCCCTTGACCTTCTGCAGCAAATGCTTCAGGTCTTTTTCAGTTTCAGCAAGCAAGGTTGTGTCATGTGCATAATGTAGGTGTTGATGAGTCTTCCTCCAATCCTAATACCATATTCCTCCTCATAAAGCCCTGCTTGCCAAATGATCTATTCTGCTTACAGATTGAAAAACTGTGGAGACAGGATGCATCCCTGTTGGACTCGTTTCCTGATTTTGAACCATGCTGTGTTTCCCTGCTCTCTTTAGAGGATTGTTTCCTATTATGAGTTGGTACCAAATTGAATACCCTTAATAAAAACAATGATAACATGGTGAAACTGTTTAGAAAGATTCTATTCCAGGGTTTCACTTATCTTAAGGAATTTGCTAATTTATCCTGTTTTTAGAAGTCAAGTGGATAATTTCATATTCTGTCATGGTATTTTCAGTTATTTAGTATACAAGTGTAAGTTTGACAAGGAATATAGAAAACCAAAGAAGAATCAATGTCTTTGAATTGTGGTATTGATTCCCACAGACAGCCAAAAACAAAATAAATCTGTATTAAAGGGCAAGATAATTAAATTTGATGTCATATACTTTGGGCCTGTTGTCAGGGGGCACTTATTTTATTGTTAGGTGCCGTCAAGTCTTGAATGACTCATCACGACCCTGTGAACAGCCAACCTGAACCCTATCATGTGCCATCCTCATCATCTCTGACACATTAGAGCCCATTGCTGAAGTCACCCTTTAAATTCATCTCATTGAGGGATCTTCTCCTTCAGTGACTCCATCTTTCTAAGATGATGTCTCTTTCCAAGAAATAGCCTTGTCTAGCTGCCTGTCCACAGTATGAAAGTCAAAGATTTGTCTTCTTTGTCTCCGAAGAGCACTGGCTGCACTTTTTCCAAGACATATCTGTTATTCCATGGCAGTCCATGGAATATTCAGTACTCTTCTCCAGCCCCACAACTTAAAGGCACCCTTATCCATTATTATGAGTATGCTCTTCTGTTACCATTATCCTCTGTCTATTTCTCTGATATGTACATAGTGATTGAGATGGCAGTTGCCTGAATCAGGCACACCTTAGTCTTCAAACTGACATCATTGCTTTTCAGCATTCTGGAGAGGTCACCAACAACGGACTTCCGACTTCCCTAGTGTAATACTTCTGATTTGCTGACTGCTGGTTCCAAGGCTTTTGATTGTTGATCCAAGTAATGTGAAATCTAGTTTCTGTAAAAAGACATTCTGCTTAGAAAAGAAAGGATCAACAAAGAAAAGGCAGACCTCAGCAAGATGGATTGACAGTCACTGCAGCATTAGACTTGAGTATGACAGACATCGTGAGCAAAGTGGAGGATATGTTGTTAATGTTTTTATGTGCCGTCGAGTCACTTGCGACTCATAGCAATCCTGTGTACAGCAGCCCTAAACTCTGCTCTTTTCTGTGCCAATCATACTGTCTCTGACACACCCTTCCCGATTACCCCAGTCACTGAATCAATCCACCTCATAGAGGGCCTTCCCCTCCTGTGCTGTTCCTCC